TTAAAATTTGATTTTAAAATTATTTAAAACTGCATCCTCTTGCAATTGTAGCTCGGCAAATTTTCCAGCTAGGGAAAATGTAGAGATAAAGAATAGTCATGAATTCAGAGACTTTAAAATGAGCTTAAAAATACAGTTTCAAATAAACCCCCCAAAGACATAGCCTGTTCATTGTAAACTGTGTGCATGCCACGAATACAACAAAAGGTCTTTCAGTAAGTACGGGGGCTCTTACTCTGTGCTGTGGGGCATAAATGGTTAAGCAATGAACCAAAGGAAAGCAGTCAAACCATCCTGGGGTACAACGGAAGAAGGCTTGGCACTCTGCTTCTGAAGGAGCTGAGATCCCTACATAGTAGTAGTTTTACTCTGAGAACCCTATGAAGTGTTTTTCCCCGGCACACTTGAGATCCACGAAATTGAAATGAATTCAGTGGCAACCGGTCTGGTTTGATTCTGTGTTCAATTTTTCATCACTTTGGTGTCTTCAATGAAGAGTTCTGTTAACAGAAGAATCTCACAGACTAAAGCACATGTTGCTCTACGAGCAAAGAGCCAATCTGGACCTAAGCTCACTTCGTGAGTGAGGCTATCACAGAATACTTGGCAAAAGAAGTCTATAACTAGGGAAAAATCCAGTCTGCCAAGCCGCTGTGAACAGAAACAGTGCCTAGCTCTCCGATCAGGTACAGGCTACCAAGGCCTATTCATTTAGAATGTATTCTCGGACACATTTAAATTTTCAGTCATTCCTAATGCTTTTACATCTACCAATGTATCTAGTCATAATTTATTCATCTTTTAAAGATTTAAACTTTGCTTGGATTTTTATTTTTACTATGATGTGAAATGATTGAGCCAATTAAAATATCATTTAGTAATTGTGGTTAGGCAAGAACATTTCAAAGAGAGTCTTTGCGACCCAAAATGCACTGCCATCCAGTCAATTCCAAATCCATGTGGCTCTAGATGGCTTCTGAGATTGTAAGGCTGCATGAGAGCAGAACTCATCTTTCTCCTGGAGAGCAGCTAGTGAGTTTGAACCTTTGACCTTGTGGTTAGCTGCACAGAGTATATATAATCCATTAAGCCACCAGCTCCCCCCCTCACTAACCACACAAAGTTAACCTTTTGTAGGTGGAAATGTTTTCTACCCCTTAATGACAGGTACTTTGTTGTTGGGACTTCTGATGTCAAAGTTTTAACTGACTTGTGTGAGCCCTTTAACATGACTTATAATTAGGGGTTCCAAATACTCTTTAAAAGTAGAGGTCAATTTTTTGGTGACTAGGTCTTTTCCTTTAATTCTTTGACGAGACGAGGCACTCTTTCTAAATTGAGAACAAATCATGAAAGAAGAGTCTGGATAAATAAACGACTCATACTAAAATATCACTATATTGTTTAAGTAGTTTCCTTTTAGCTCCCAGAATTGTCCTTGCTTATAGGTCCTCAGCTCTGAGCAATGTGCTTTCATTGAGATTCCTGCTTACCCAAGCTACCTATGAAATCAAGAAAACATTCTCAGAGAAAATGAGTATTATGAAGCTATTCAGAGGGCAATGGAATTAATTTCTAGAAGCACTTTCATGAGCTATCAGGATGCCTATTTAAAACAAACAAAAACCTTTTAATAAAGAATAGACAACAGAAGTACTATAGATAAGGACTATAGATTCTTTCCCACAATGAGGATATTAAACATTGTCAAAGATAGTCTGAAAGAAAAGTAACAGACGAAATGACTAAATACACCATTAAAAGCATAAGCATGAAATAAAAATATAAGTTGTAAGTGGAAAAACAAAACCTCTAATTTAGATATTGTCAGAAGTTAAGAACAAGGTTTAAGGGCTTAAAGTTCTCTAGAGAAAAATATACCACAAGGCTAACAGTTTCTTGTTAAAAAAAATTCAAAAGCTATGAATAACTCTAAAATATAGAATAGATGTTACAGTTTCGAAACATGCTACTTAGAACCTACTAGCCATTCCAATCAATAGGCTCCTATTCTTAAGTCAGCTTTGAAATTTGCTCAAGGTTTAAAGTTTATCAGAATAGGAACTTATCTTCCAGCTCATTAAAACACATAAAATCTTTTCAACAAAAGGTTCAAATTATTAGGCACTCAAAATCGTTGGTTACTTTTCTCTGCACAATTGATCAACTCATTCATTGTATGATTTTGTCAATGTGTGTCTTAAAGACAAGTGGCAGACTACTTGAACCAGGGCATCCAAAATCTAAACTCATTTAGTTAGCATCTAATTTAAAAGTCATGCTATTAATTACTAGAAATGCCTCTCTGGTCATTAATATTTTCATATCATAGAATAATTATTAACTCTGCCTGTATCGACTAATATACTTTTCCTTACTCTTCGTGGACAAAAATTTTAAAGATAAGAAAGTTGTTTTTTATTTATTTAAAAATGCCTCCAGCTTAAATTCTGAAAACCCAATTTGTGGAAGGCTACGAAGGACAGTGGGCATCCAAAATCCATCTGCAGAGTACCTACTCAGATTCAGCCTCTGACCACAGTGGAGGGGTGAGAGAAGAGCTATGCTCTCGGGCAGAGATTACTGTAAACTTGACTATAGGGGATAGGGCTATGGTAGAACATGACACCTGGTCAGTTGACCTCCCTCTTGACTCAACCTGAATTTGTTCTTGATTTAAATATTTCTCGCTTGTTCCACAACAGAATTTTACTCTCTGCTTATTTTAATATTGCTGAAGGTCTTCTCTTTGTTACTCTTTACTTTTCATCTTTATTCTACTATTATTTTCTTTCTTTTTTATTGTTTCTACTCAGTTTTCCAGTTTATTAAGCACGGGAGTGGATGCAGTTCTAGTGCATCTTCTCCCATCCCTGATAAATCATTGACTTAGTTATTGGTTTTATCAATAAAACTATTTTTTTAAGTGCCTCTATCCTAGGAGTCCTGGGGATAAAGTTGGTTACCCATTGGCCTGATAACCACAAAGTCAGTAGTTCAAAGCTACCAGGAGCTCCAGGAGAGAAAGAGGGGTTTTCCGGCTCCTGTAAAGATTTACAGCTCAGGGGCTACAGAGGCCATTTGACTCTGTCCACAGGCCGCTGAGAATCAGACCTGACTTGGTGACATTGAGAGAGAATGGACCTCTGGTTTACCTGAAGAAGAAAAGGAAATGATATATACTTGCTGCTCAACTGTGATTAGTTTTGTTCTTGCTTTACAAATAACTTCCTTCATTTCTGTAACGGAATTCTCCATAGGAATATTCATACACAACACTTCAAAATGAAAATATCTAATTTCTTCTGAAGAGCTTTCTGACCATGCACGATTATCACCATCTCATCAAACCAGAAAGAGGGAAGAGGCCTGACCTGAGTGGTTAACCTTCTTTAAGATGGTGGAGAATCATTTTTCCAATAAAATTATTGCCCTCAAAAATACATGCATGTAGACTATCTATCAAACAGACTGGTTCCTTGGAGCTAGATAGGGAAACCAATCGTGTGCTGCTTTTCTTTCACCTTTCGAGTGCACGTGTGTGGGAGCATGCGTTGTCATCGCCTCAGTACCCTCCTCTGAGACTGGTGGGTGACCCCACTGAGCAGGACCATGGACACACGATCCTGACCTGGATCTACTGTCAATTCCTGATACCCCACTCAGAGAAAGACATCATGCTCAGTGAAGTAGAGGAGCAGTGAAAAGAGGAAGGCTCTCCACGAGATGGGCTGACACGGGGGCTGCCTTCATGGGCTCCGGCACGGGAATGTGTATAAGGACGGCGTGGGACCCAGCAGTGTTTGGTTCTGTTGTGTATCGGGTCGCTGTGGGTCGGAACAGACTCGATGGCATCTAACAACACAACAACAGCAACTATAAGCAAAAGGCTCAGTTTACCACAGAATCCATTTTCCATTAAAAAAAAAAAGCATTTAAAAGTCTAGATTCATGAATGTTAATTAGTGCTTGACAGGTAGCAATCTGACTCATCCTCTGGCAAGTGGGAGGTGGCTGCTGCCTCTCCAGTGGCCTCTGGTCCTAGGGAGGCGAGGCAGAGCTCTTGAAAGTCATTTATGCAGGAAAGGAAGCAGGCACTTCCCCTAGTTGCCCTCAGCAGTACCAGGTACCCACTGCATCTGAGAGGGAGCAGGGAGTGCTTGTCCCTGGCAGGCTTTCAGAGAGCACCAACCTCCTCTGCATCCAGGGCCTTATCTGGCGGCAGCAACACATGTGCTGCCTCTTTCCCTTCCCAAGGAGAGCAAGCTAGCTACCCCGTGCCCCAGGGTACCCCAAACCTGCTCAATTCCTGTTGGCAAAAGAAAATTTACCACCAAACCAACAGATTTACCACTTTAATTTAAAAGAACCATAAGCTCCCTCCCTAAAAGCCTCCACTGCTAAAACATTACAAAAACAACAACAAAAAAGCGAGTCCCAAAATTCCCTTTTATTAAAAAGCTGTGTCCCTTTAAAATTTTAGTGACGTCTTTTTCTACACAGAAATTAATATCAGGACCTCTCCAGTACCAGAAAAATGTCAGGTTGTTCACTGTGAATAGCAGGCAAACGCATTCCCCAATTGGCGGAACAGAAACAAAATTAAGAAGGGAAGAGTTAGTTATTCATTTAGTCCAAGGTCACACACCGAAATCTTTGACAAACAGACTACATTTCCCCTTCTTTCCCCTTGTCTGGGCTCTCTGTTCCCAATTATCTGTACCCTTTCTCCTTTAGTTCACATTCAACGTTACACAGAAGCACAGATATTTCCACGGATGTGCTGTGGAATCTAGACTGCCAATGAGAAGAAACCAAACCTCGGCATCCTTTGTTTAAATGCTTCAAGGTAACAATCTCTATAAATGTACATCCCTCCATCCCTAATACGATTAACCTCCAAGCCTTCTAATGATGCTGAAATTAAGTATGCAGGGGAAAAAAATAACTGTCTTTGTTTAAAGGAAAATGCATACTTTGTGAATTGATTATATATCTACCTCTTTCATGCTGAGAGTTAAATCCAATACTGAAATGTAAATAACTTAAAGTGCACTTTAATTATATATTTGCAATCTAAAGACATTTTTTCATATAATGTACTAGACAGTCACGATTGCATTAAGAATGACAAAATTTGGGTTGTTTTTCTTTTCAATTTCCATGTTCAAGGCACAATATTCCTTATTCTCTACTGATAGTTAGAATCTAGATGAAACATTCTATTATCTTCCTCTTAGGTAACTAAAATACACATCCCTTTAATCTAACACTTATTCTTGAACTTACTAGTTTAGTTTAGTTTAGTTTACCTGTTCCTGAGTGCACCGTATGCAGCGGCAGAAACTGCAGAAAGCCAGCAAACATAACAGCAGCATCGGAGTGGTGAAGCAAATGCTGCCAGCACAAAATCACTCCATTCAGACTAGAAATGGAGCGCATATACAACACAATAAAAACCCCACCAAAATGCAAAAGAAATTTTTAAGAAAAAGTCCCTCTGGTTCTGGGATTAAAAAAAAAAAAAGAGCCAGCAATGCCCAACATTATACAACGGTGATACTACGCAAGGACATAAGTGCTGCTGTCATCAAAACCGATCTCTGCAGTGTACAGATTCGCACTGATGGCTGCACTAACTTATAGTGCTCCGTGCTAGACCAAAGGGGTTCCCGGTGTAGCAAACCTCACAGCGCTGGTAGGTTCACAATTAACCATGTCCTGGACAAGGCACAGAAGCTGCTACCTTCCCGCAAGCAGAGATGATGAAATGCTGTGGGCCATTAAAGCTAGCTCAGGCGAAATGACTCAGGCAGATGCTCTGGGGGCTGCTCCTCTTGCCATTCGCCCAGGGACATTTCATGGGCGGGGATGACAAATTTGAGGAGACCCTCGCCAACTTGTGGACCACACCAAACTCACCTGATAAGCTGTAGTCCCATCATCAGTCCCTGGCAATGATGCTGCCAAGCCCTGTGTAGATCCTCTGCAGTTTCCTTAACTGAGGAAGCTCACTCCGCCCAATGTCAACAGCTGGCACCAGGACGCTTTCACCAAGGGTGTGGGAAGGATTGTTGGGAACATGGGCAAAAACGCTTCTTCAAGCTGTTTGGGTACAATCAGCCTAGTGCTAATGGTGGCTCATCTCCAGGGGGCAAAAGGACAGCCCAAAATAGGATTTGCCAGGGTGTTGGGAGGGGGTGGACAGGGAGAGGAGATTTATATTTCCAATACTTTTAAAGATGCAGGTCTTTGATAATTATAGACACACATTTTGTAGCCCAACACAAATATCGCACTGAGCTATATCTCTTTCCTACAGGCTTACAGATATGGTATAAATACACTTCCGCACAAAAAATGGCTACATTTTCTGTGACAGAAGAGAAAGGTGACTAAATGGAGTGTTTGTTGTATGACAAATACCATCGTAAGTATTAAGTTACCTAATTCGTTTATTTCCCACAGGGATATCATAACATCAGTATTACTTAACCCATATGACATGACGCTCAGCTGCAGGGAGAAAGAGCAGCAGAGGTAGGATGTGCACTTGGTTCCTGTTGGACCTGAAAGCCTAAGTTTTTCTCTACACCATGGCACTGTAAGCTTTTTGGTGGATTGCTACAAAGTTCTGCACTTGTTTATTACAGTGCTAGTGACTTCCTGAAGGATCTCTGGTGGTACAGTGATTATGCATTGGGCTGTGATTCGAAAGGTCAGCAGTTTTGAAGCCACTGGCTGCTCCGCTAGAGAAAGAGAGGGCTTTTTACTCCCATAAAGAGTTACAGCCTGAGTCACAGTCTGGGGAATTCACAGGGGCCAGTGTTACCCTGTCCTATCAGGTCGCTCTGAGCTGGCGTCACCTCAGCGGCAGTGCATTTGGTTTTGTGCAGTGATTTCTTGAGAACCCTGTTGATAAAGTGGTTCTAAGCTGGGTTGCTCGTCTCAAAATCACCAGCACTCCACAGAAGAAACACTAAGCTTTCTATTCTATAAAGAGTTACAATTTGTTGAAATTAAAAAATAAAATATAAAGAGGGAAAAAAAAGAGTGAGTCTCAGAAACCAACTGAGGCAGTTCTACCCTGTTATATAAAGGTCACTAGGGGTCAAAATCAACGCAGTGGCAGAAAAGGTACAGGGTGGACGTAGGAGATTTTCCACATTGGAAGCTAGTGAGTATTTTGTGGTGAAGCTAGTCGGGATGAGTTCAAACTTACTAACCTTCTACTTCTTTAAGTGGGATTTGTAGCTGAGTTGGAACTGGTACATACGGTTCTCATTTAGCTTTACTTTGGTGCACTAAGGACTCCTGGTGTCAACGTGGGTTATGAGCTTGGTTGCTAACCTCAAGGTCAGCAGCTCAAAACCACCAAGTACTCCTCAAGAGAAAGAGGACGCTTTCTTCTCTGTAAAGAGTTGCAGCCTCAGAAAACCAAAGGGGCAGTGTACTCATCCTCTAGGGTCACCTCTGTGAGTTGAAATCAACTCAACAGCAACAAGTTGTTGTTTTCGTTTCTGCTTTCTGGAGGTGCAGGGGGGTGTGGGGGGCTCTCTATTCCCATAATCAGTTACAGTCTCAGAAACTCCAGGAGCAGTTCTGTCCTATCCTACACAGTCACTAGGGGTTGGTATTGACCCAATGGCAGTGAGTGAGTGAGTGAGTGAGTGCAGAGAATTCTTGACAAACTAAAAAAACTCTCAGAAATGGCATGCCCGGTTTCCAAAGTCACAAAATGAAATAGACAATCAATATCACAAGAATAAGATCACTAATGGTGATCTTATTCTAAAATTTCCTTTCTTTCATTACTGAACGAAATGAAATAATCCAAGATCCCATGCGTGTTAATAGCTGTCCACAGCCAAGTACAAAAAAAATCCTCCTATTTTCACTTTGTTCTTTCAGAAATGTTTCCTAGCAACATATACTTATTTAAAATATTTCTACCACCCTCTCCATTTTGAGCCACTGGTACCTGTTTGCTGGACTGTATGCTTTACAGTCCTCACACTGCACTATGACCCACAGCCAACTCATTTCCCTTGGGAAAAAACACATAAAACCGATCTTCAATTGCAATTCTGAGCCTGCTTCAAATGTCCCATTGGGCCTGTGGTGCTAGGGTCGAGGTCAGGGCTGACATTTGTAGAAAGGTTCCAGCTCTTTCATGAGGAGCCAAAAGCTATTATTTTGACAAAAAACAGAAACACCCTATTTTAAGATTGATTTTCCACTAATGATGACTAATTCATCATGCATTTCTCATTCTATGAGATAATAAAAGCCTGGGAAACATTTACTACGAAACAAAATTCATGCACAATTAAGCAACTTCTTTTATTTTTTACTGATTTTCACAGAACATTAACTTTCTAATCTTTAAATCTATCTCAACTTAGCTTTTACCAAAAAACCCCAAACAAACATAAAGTTAATTATTTACAAGTTTTGAAGCCATAGTAGAAACTCCATAATTTCCATTTAATAAAACAGATGAAGTTGGTAAGAAATTTGGCACTGATATGGAAAAGAAAAAAATTCACTTCATTCCTGATATGCAAAGAAGGGAATATTTGGACTGCAAAATTAGAGACACATTTTTGCCCAACTGGGATGAAAATGAAGTGGGATTAGTATCTCCCAAACATTATCTGTTGCTTACCAGGACCTGCTCGTCGAGACTTGATTACTCCCTCTTCAGAATCAATAAACCTCCTTTCTTCCCACCCGTCTGAAGAGGCCGGTATCCCAGGTGCACACATGACACCAATTTTGCAACAACAACAACAACAAAATCCAGCCGGGGAACTTTTAGACTTGCTTCTTAAACCGCTCTCCACTGCTCAAGCTCTTATCTAGTAAGAGTGTGAAGTGCCTCTTCCATCATCCTGCTGATATCACTGAACAACAGCAACAGAACGGGGTCAGGAGCCACGGAACAGAGACGGCAAGCCAACACTGGTGTAGCATAGGAGAGTCTCTTTGCATGCTTGCCTCAGGTCATTGCAAGCACTGTACAGAGCACAGCTCAGATAAAATACCATGCACAGCCCTGGTCGTCCTGGTGGTGTGGAGAATGGTAACATTTACTGAGGAGAAGCATATTGGCATCTCGGTTGGGTTTTAAGCAGATCCACAGGGTTCAGGAAATAAGATTCTCTGCCAGATGACACTGTGCTCCCAGCCATTCCTTCTGTTGACTTGTCCCTCAAATTGCTCTAACCAGTGTCCTTTTGCCTGCTGTGAGCTTATTTGTGGAGAGGGCTAAATAAAGGATATTTGCGACAACAAACTGGCCATTAACCCATAAGATGATTTCTTAAAACATACTTCTGTTTTGGTTCAGTGCAATTAAAATCAATTAAATGTTTTTTTCTTAAGTAGTTGAAATTAGGCTTTGAATGGATTTCCTATTCTTTACATAAAATTTTATACCATTTTTTAAAGGTTACCTAATACTTACATTAACATTATTTTCGCCTATTATGTAAACATCTTAACAGACCATCTCTTCTTAGGCCCATATAATTCTAACTTAAGTATATTATTATGCAGGTAAGAATTACTTTACTGGATCTTAATCAGAAAGTGTTATAAATAATGCCTGTAGCACAATCATTTTCAGTTACATGCATTTTGTATGTTCTCAAGTGTAGTCAGGAAGGAGCACTGGACTGCCAAAGAAAGATGAGCAGCTCGGGCTGACAAGTGAAAGAAGAGGCTGTCTGCTCCTATAAAGATTTACACTGTCTAGGGTCTCCATGAGTTGAAACTGTCTGGAGAGCAATAGGCTTTAAAGTATATTACTGGGTCTTCCAAAGGAATTTGAGAAGTAAATAGGATGGGCAACATTAACAAGAGAATCAACTATAGATAGAAACAGGTATGAAGTACACACCAAGACTAATTTGTTCTGGGAACAAAATTCCTAATTAGCCATTCTACAGCTTCCAGTTCACAGAACTTTTATTTTCAATTGGAGTTTTAGTGGTAATGCAGTAACA